GATAATGTGTTGTAAGATGCACCATTTATGGGACTCAAAATCATTGTTTTTTACATAGTCATACATTTCAATGTCTAGATGATCAATTAAAGCGTTTTTCAATATTAAAACGACTTTTTTCGATGGATTTTTTAGGTGCATCCGCAATTCTACATTTTAAGGTTGCAACCTTATATGAACGTTTTCCCTATATATATATATATTTATAGGAAAACACTTAAAAACTCTCTTATATATAGGAAAACACTTAAAAACGCTTCTAAGTGAGCCGCTACAGTATTTCACTCATGTCTCATCACACTCCAAAGTCCATCAAACATTTAATACTATTTGAATTTTAATAATTTTTTTACATATGTGATGAACCTCAAAATTTGTGGATGTGTGCGCCGTAATGAGGCTCACCTAAATAAAATATAAAAAAATCATTTAAATGATAAAATGATTAAAATTTAAATATTAAAATAATTAAATTACCCTTATGGATGTTACATGGGTAGTTTGACCATTTTTTTATTATTTTTAATGTTTTTTTGAGGTGCAAGCTGGTTAGTTATTCACACACCCCAAATTTTAGATAAATCATATTTCTAGAACAAATATTAAAGTTCAAATACTATTGGATAATTAGGGCTGTCTGATAGACTTTGGATGTTGATGAGCCATGAGTAAAGTATTATAGAAATTCACTCGTTCGGTGTTTGTAAATGTTATCATCACACACACACACACACATACATATATATAGCATCATCATCATCATCATAGCCTTGGCTATACGAATCCCGGTCTGCCATTTTGCTCTATTAAAGGCCATACCCTTTGTGAGGCCATAAGTCCCCATATCTTTTCAGACTACTTTCAACCATGTCCTTTTGGGCTTACCTCTTGCCTTTTCCAGTCTTTCTACTTGAAGTAACTCGCACCTCCGAACAGGTGCTGTACTTGGTTGGCGCAACACATGACCAATTCACCTAAATCTACTCGCTCTCATCTTATCGTCTATTTGTACCACACCTAAATTCTCCCAAATGGCTTCATTTTGAATTCTATCCCTTTTTGTCTTGCCACTCATCCATCTCAACATCCTCATCTCCGTTACACTCATTCTATAGATATATTGCTTTTCGTCCGCCCAACATATATATGTATACACACACACACACATGCACATACTATTGGAGTTTGTGGCCTTTAAAGGCCTAAAATAGCTTGTAAATAAAATCATTTATAGTGATTCATGCACTTCAGTCGCAATGTACTATGGCTGATTGACCTAGGGTTGAGTTGTTCTGGCTCAGGGTCATGTCCAAAAACCCTTACCTCTGGGCATGTGGCATTGCCGTTGAGAGTTAATTATGGGTAATCCCTTTTTGAGGTTAGAGAGATGCCCAAGGATGTTGTTTGTAGGCCTTGAGAGCAGTATGGTCTCCTATGTGTGGAGGAAGAACTTGTGAGAGCAAGGGCCAAATCTGTAACAAAATTTTTGCATGGCATGTACATATGAAAACTACATTTTGGGAAGTAACCATATATAGAAGTACACATATACATGTGCATAGAGAGTGGCCCCTTGCACTGTGTGTGTATTTGACTTGCTCACAGGAGGGGAACCTGTAACGCATATATTGGGATTATGATTCCTCTATTTATTGGCTAATTTTGATGGGCCAATCATGAACCCTTGCACTTGAATGTGGGCAAAGGGTCCTGTGTGATTAGCTTGAGAAGGCAGTAGTGGATTTTGGATCTTGGCACAGGTGGAGTGTTGGCATAGGTGGAGTGCCTTGATACTTGCTTGTTTTCTACCTATTAGGTACCTATCCACTTTTAAGTTGTATTTCTATGTGCTTTAGATTTTTTTAAAACTTCAGAAATATTGTTTTCTACTAAAAATGTGTTAATGTAAATTTATAATTTTTTTTAAATTTTAAAAACCAATTTTAAATGTATAAAACCCTAAAAGGGTGTTTTAAAATTTCAATGGCTTCTGGAAAATTTATAAATTATGTGGGTCCCCTGTGAGGGGGCTGAGAGCACAACCCCACATGTTTGAGCCCCACTAGAGGGTATCACATGAACCCCATTAGGGGCCACATGTCGCATTAATTCGGACATCCTCTTCTGTGTGGCACATGTTTTTTTAGTAAAAAGTATTTTGTGGGATATTTATCTTAGTGAAGTTATTTGGTTGACGAATATTCTTTAGAGATTATCTTAGTGGTTTTCTTGTTATCTACTTATCTTTGGCCAAGTTTGAATTCCTAATTATCTCACATGAATGGCCACAATTGAATTCCTAATTATCCCTTTGTGAAAGAATAGGACTTTTAGAATATCCTATTTTGTTCTAGATAATTCTAGCGGATAAGTTTTGATGGGTCATAGTTTTAGATTAATTAAAAGTGGATATGGGTCAAATCTCAGGGGATAATTTCCTACAGATTCACTCTAGATCCTGATGGCTGATCTTGGAGATGAATGACTTAGATTAAATATTCTCTCTCACCTATTGATCACCTAATAAAAATCCTAGATAATGTTGAACACCTCTAACTGGGGCTCCTAGCCCTAGAGGTCTATAAATAGGGGAGATCTGTCCCTTATTTCAGTACACAGATCTCTCTCATCTCTCTCTTTCTCCAATCTATGCGACACTTTATCTCTCTCATCCTCTCTAGCTTCTCTCTCTCGTCTCTTTAAAAGGTGGCATGCTACCCCCCATAATTGTAGGGGTGGCAAACACCTCAAAGAAAGAGACAAGGAGACGGGGCACGCCCAACCCTCTTGGTTTAAAATTGGGGAGGTGCCAGTTGTGGCATGCCCCAAGGTAGAAAAAGGGTGTCCTAGTCCTAGAGGTGCTTCTCCATTTCAGTTTGGTGGATTCAGCAGGTTCTAGGATCTAGTGCGCCATTAGTCAAATTATCGGGTGTGGGGTGTGCTAAGCCTTAAGGGGATTACCTTAGGCAATAGTCAGTAAGTCTTCCCATATTTAATTACTTTTATTGAATGTTATTCTTGCATATTTTTTTTTTCTAAAGTTGTTAAGTTTTATTCAGTTTGAATGAAGTTTATTTTGGCAGTAAGATATTAAAGATCCTAGATTGTAGGTGGCTTGTTTTACTGTATTGTGGCACCTGTAAGTAGAATTTCCTCTTTATAAAAGAAAAGAAATTTTTGAATTTACAGCATGGAATTCTACATTGCTACTCCTTTCACATGCATACATATCAAAATATGCGAAATTAATGATTTCTTTTTCAATAATCCCGGAATTGAAAATATAGGTTACAATTAATTGAAAAAAGTTTGAAGTTGCCAAAATGGAAACAAAAACATATTTTTTTATGGCCAAAGATCGACATTAATTATTTGTCAAGCCCAAACAATTCTCTACTTAATAATAAAACAAATCCATTCCTTCCTTCCTCTTCTTGTAGTCCACTGTTTTTCCCCTTCTTAGAATGAACCCAAATACTTCAGTTGCCTGCACCTCATTGCCCATTCAAGCCTTATCACTCAATTGCTGTTGCGCTGAAGAGTTTAGAAGGGATGAGGGAGGATCAATGTTCATTGTCATTGTCGACCTAATGATTATTAGAAAATTGTTTCTTAGGTGTGTGTTGGGTGATCCATTCCATGCTCAAAGTACTTTTTACATAGAAATGAGCATGGCTTAGGCTAATCTTAGCCTAGAGAATGGGTTTAAAGAGTGACTTGCTAACAGCCTCCTTCATGGTTTTCATGATCAAAGAGTTGCGGAGCTATCACTACATATGAGAGAGCTCCTCTTCTATCAATATGTACATTGGATTTTAACCAAGTTCCAGAAAGAGGCACATGTCTTTTATATGGACCGATAGGTTTCCTCGTGTAACCCAACTCTAATGGTGTACCTTACAATCTTTCTTGCTGATTTCACAGTTTACTCCTATGCCAGCAGCATCATCATTGTTGATGCTTCATCCTATACCAAAACCTAAAACTTCCATTGTTATAGAAGAAGAGCTAAAATGAGATAGATGCTCTCTCTTTAGGTGTGATTGGTCGAGTGTCTTCTTCATTTCAGTTTCTGGGAAATTAGTTTCTGGAGAGGTTGGCAGCCAGCTTGGTTTTGTCAATGAGGGGATAAAGTGGTGTAGGTACAAGAGATTCAGGGGGCATGGGGTTTGTTGGGGGGGCGGGGGTGGGAGAGGAAAGCAACCCAAATCCCGTTAGTTTTTTAGTAATGGAGAAATTAAATCCTACAAATTCAAGTTCTACTTAAATTTTGTGGCATTTAGAAAATAGGAGCTTCTCTTAATTTTCTCGGATAAGATTTGGGCCAATTAAACATAGCCTAGGGGCTTGAAAGATCTAATATTTTTCTGAAGTATTTGGATTATATGTGGTTGTCTAACATAACCTAATATATATTCCTAAATAAGCTTCAAATATGGAGGAGTTTTCATAAAGATCCAATGAGAAATGGGATCTAGGTTTGTCTTATTCAATGTTCAAAATCTCAAAGTTGGTGGCTGACTAATCACTTCCAAAACCAAGATGATTAAGAGTGTAACTTGAAAAACTCAGCAAGTTTTTCTAAATTTCACGTGAAAAAAAGTTTTCAAAGGCAAAAAGTGTATGATGGGAATCAAATCCAACCCTTTTCGAACAAAAAACTTAATGCTATCGCATTGGAAAGACCACCACATCAATAGAATAAACACAAACATTTATATATATGGAAAAGATCATGCACATACCGTCTTTTTCTTTTACAAAAGTTGGCCTCTTTACGAGTTCAATTGATTTGGTAAATGAGTTTTCATTCAACAACTTGTTGGCTAGAAGGATATGGATGTGCATAAGTCCTGGAGGGAGGAATTGTGAAATAGCCCAAGGAAATCACCTTTCTTCACTCTCATGCCTTGAATATTTTTTATGAGGTTGCTGGAAGCCTGGAACTTTGGATATAGTTGTTTGTTTTATGATTTTGTGGAATTTCTTATTTTGTGCAGAAAAAGTAATGGCTTTTCTTCCAAAAATCTTAAGCGGTTAGGACCTGGAAAAGTGTCACCTCGCTTACCTGTTCCAGACCATATACCAAAACCTCCATATGTGAAGTCAAGGCAGCTACCAGGAATCAATGGTGGACCTGAAGTGCATGATGAAGAGGGAATGAAATGCATGAGAGAATCAGGCAAACTTGCAGCAAAAGTTTTGGAGTATGCCGGAACATTGGTCCAGGTTTCACAACCACTCTATATTTTTAAAGTAGCTGGTTGTATAACTCAAAGTTTCTTGACTATATTATTGTTTGGCTGCATCTAACTCAAAGCATGACTTTTGTTGGGGACTGTGTAGCAGAATTGTTATTATGGTAAATATGAGAAGATTTTGTCAGATTAAAATGTTCATTTTTTAATTTTATTGGAAGCGGTTCTTTTTTTCTACGGTGAGTTACATAAGGGTATGGTTCGGAGAATGTAGAGGGGTTACTGTGAGATAGAATTTGATAGAATTAGTTTGGCTATTTGGATAATATGGAAAGACTGCAGGAATAAAATCTTATAAAGAAGATCATATCTTTTTTCTTTGGTTATGGACAAGTTAACTAGATATTTACAGGATGAGGTTCTGTAGTATATGTTGTTTGTGGATGACATAATTTTTATTTATGTGACCAGAGATGGCGTAAACGTGGGTAGTCAAGAAACCATATATCTTTAGAATGAACATAGATGAGATGAGGATGTTGAGATGTATGAGTGGCTAGATAAGGAAGGATACAATTCGGAATGGAGGCATTCGAGGGAATTTAGGGGCAATTCCAATAGGCGATAAAATGAGAGAAAGTAGATTTAGATGGTCTGATAATATGCAGTGTCGACTTGGAACACCAACAATTTGGAGAGGAATTTGGTTCCAGTGGAAGGCTCTAAAAGGGAAAGGGGAAAGCCTCAAAGGACATTGATGGAAGTAGGGAGAAAAGATATAGTGACTTATGGTCTAATAAAGCAAAGTGGTGGAACATGATTCATGTAGCCTACCCCAAATAGTTGGGATAAAGCTCGGATGATGATGATGATGATTTGGGAAAGTGGACACTGATTTTGACTACAAAGAAGGATGTTGTGGTTGGGTAGTGCAAAAAACAGCAATAGATGGAATAGAAGTGCAAAATTCTAGAACTCTGGGAGAAGGATGATCTGAATTTTTCATTATAGGGGACTGCAATAATATGGTAACCCTTCCTCAAGGTGTGATCAAGATCAACTTCGATGGATGTGCCAAAGGTAACCTGAGTCTAACTAAAATTGAGGGTGCCATTCCTTGTAATGATAGGATCGCCCTGAAGTGTTTCATGGAGCACAATGAGAGTTGCAGATTTGCATGGGTCGAGGAAATTGTGATTTGCTGGGTTTGGTATCATTGAGGTACACTCCTTAAATTTTGTCAGATAGATTAGTAAGGGATTCTCCTATCTATTTGGGGCTTGGGAAGCTTTTGCAGAACTATGTTGTAAACCAAATTGTAATGCATTGTTACGAATGGTCTTACATGCTAGCATGTTCTTCATTCCAGCCATGGCCACCATGCTCTTAAACCAAGCAATCCAATGTATTTATCATAGTTGCAAGATTCAATAATGGAGTTAAATACGGTTAACAAAAGACAAGGAACTACCACCTGCCAAATTAGAATCCTAGAATGATTTATTTGTCTATTTGGGGGCTGGATTTGGAGCCATTGAGTATATAATTTTGACTCAGCTGGATGGTGTATTTCTATTAAATGGATGTCTCATAAGGGCTTCTTATCTAATGCTATCGTTATTGCTAACCACTAAGTTATAGGATGATGATCATTGTCTTCCGAGAGAAGTCTTTCTAGTAAATTACCATCTACAGTATGATATATTCGATCGTACTTCCAAGCAATGTTCAAAAAGGCGTAGGCGTGCCCTGCCTAGGCGTTTTGAATGCTTGGCCGCCCACCAGGAACAGGGACGGGTGGACTGTTAATTAAGATAAAAGTTATAATTATTACTTATTGATTAATATTCATATGATTTGGTTTTGGATATCAAATATTCACAAAACGAAAAATTTCATTTAAAGTTTATGACTATTCATAAATTTTAAGTGCAAATCAGTAAATGTTCCATCTACAAATTTGTAAAAATATCAAAAAAATAAAACAAAATTAATAGAATATGAAAACATCACACATTGCTCAAAATAAAAACCAATTATTTATAAAAGAATTCGATATAGGACCAATTTCATCGTCCAAACGAGTTAATTATCAATTAATCACAAAAAAAAAAAATCAATCTATCAACTACAAAAATGTAAATATATCATAAAAGAAAAAAAAAGTTCAACAAAGAAAAATCAAATGATTCAAAACATAATACATTATAGCAAAAAACTCAAAACCCTTATTCAAAATCAAAATGGCATAATGCTCTAAAAATATCAATATGGAAATGATGTTGGCCTAAATCTTGTCTATTGGGTTGCCAAAAGTCCTCAAAATCGACTACTAGAAGCTCTAAAAACACTCACAAACTATTTCTTTTGATTTTGGAAGAAATCGAAAACATCGAAAATTTATCGATCTAAATAGAGGTTTTTGGGTAGTTTTTCTCTCTCTAGATGGCACGGATTTAGTTTTACGGGGTCAGAATGTCCCCCCAAAACTCCTTTGCCCCATTTCAGGAGAGGGGGCGGGGGGAGGGGAATGACTAATTTTGATCCTAGCCTAGGGATTTCCGCCCTAGGCAACCTGCCTCGAGGTGGCGCCTAGGCGGCCGTGTAGAATGTAGCGCCTAGGCATAACCTTTCCTGCCTTGGCGGATAGGCGGCCGAACTTTCGAACATTGCTTCCAAGTAGTGCATCTTCTTTGGTATCCTTCTGCACAAAAGTGTAAAGATAGAATCATATGTAGCAATGCATGCAACATTTCCCATGCTGTGGCATTACTAGGCTTGAGCATGATGTTATTCTTGGGCGGGTTTTGAATCTTTAGATTCTGGCTTTCTTTTGTAGATATTAAATGAAATACACCTCGCAGCATTGTTTTATGAATGAAACTTTGCCTTCTCAAGAACGATTAATTGGTAGCGCTATACAAAAGATATGATAAATCAGGAATCATTGTCGCCTAAGCATACTGAAAAAAGCAAGAAAAAGAGAAACTGAGCCAACTTTTTTTTTTTTCTTTTTGTTGTTCTTGCTAAGTGGGCCAACTTTTCAAGTTGCTAATTGGAAACGAGAACATCTTTACGCTCGATGTGTCTTCTGCTGAGGTATCCTTTTGAGAACTAGCAATGACGGTGAGGATATACAAATTCTTGATTTATTATTATTTTTGGGTAAATACAAGATGGTGAATGAAAACGCGTTTCCGAGTTGGAAAAATTCGCCAATTCAAATTGACTCATACAGTGGGGTGAGTTCTATAAATAAAAACTCGGATTCATCTGGGTTTTTGTTATATATGATTGTCTGTGTCTTTTGCATGGAAATGAGATTTTGAGAAGTGGTAGAAATGTTGTTTGTCCTTGATAGCAAGCTTAGATGCTTCACAGAATTTTGAAAAATTGCCCTAATTTTTGAGTTGACTGTTTAAGCCAGCAACGACTCGGTTTTGGCAGGGACTGTCTTGGTCATTAAGTTCAAGGTTTTGAACAGTGATATGAATCATACAAATCTCATGCAAGATTTGGATAAGTAGTTTGTCAGAGTAGAAATATTATGAAGAGGATTTCTGCATCACACCCAATCAATGCAACTGATTTGCTACTAGTGACATGAAACATCAGTAACACAGCAGGTAATTCACTGCTGGGACGTATGTAATCAATGGACCTGTTAGATACGGTGGACTCTATGAACTCTTGTCCTTATAAGAATGAGTAAGTTGATTTTACTTACTATTGGTTGGCCTAATATTGCTCATGCAGGTGGCACCATAAAGCTGCTAATGGGATGCTTTGTTACTTCCAAGTCCAAGAGTATTTGCCTTAAGGTTTTCTATGTGATACTATTTTCCCCCTAGTCCTCTTCATTTAGCACTTCTCAAAGATTTCTGGATATATGGGTGCTATTCCTGTATCTTGGCAAAGTATAGAACTGATGATAGTCGTGAATATCATTTGCTGAGGTTAACTATAGGGTCGTGGAATTGCTGGCATGGGAGATATGGCGCAAGAAACTTTTTCTTGAATGGGTTCGGTTACAATTCATTACATGTGGATGCATTATGATAATTCGATAGGATGCTTGCAAGTCATTGCTATGAAGTATAAACCTTTTATCTCATGAAAGGTGAATAAAAAAAGTGTAATGCCACTTTATCTGGGAGAGGGGAGTTTCCTGTCATTTTGTTATGTCATGCTGGGAGCATCAATTACTGAAATGCTTACAAGTGGTCTTGGAATGGCCCTGTCATTGCACTTCTACTATTGGCAAGTTTTGTTCAATTAGCTTGACCTGTAGCGGCCATCCCATCAGCATTTCTCACTCTTGTAACATTTACGAATTATTGCTTATTGCTCTTGGTTTTGTCTGTTTCCTAACCTCTTTTAACTTCCTTGATGTGTGGTACATTTTATCACCGATTTTGTGTTTAAAACACGAATAGTATCTGAAATTGCCAACGACTGAGGAATTGAACAGAGATGATTCTGATTTTGCACAAAAAATCACTATACGATGGGAACAGTTCTTATTCTGCATTCTTTCCAAAGCTATAGCCCTTAATCTCTATTTTCAGCCAGGGACAACAACTGATGAGATCGACAAAGCCGTTCACCAAATGATTATTGATCGTGGTGCATACCCCTCCCCTCTTGGCTATGGTGGTTTTCCAAAGAGTGTCTGTACATCTGTAAATGAATGTATTTGTCATGGAATACCAGATTCTCGTGCTCTTGAGGTACTATTCTTATTGTTATCCTGGTCACAAGTAATTTTATCTTCTGGACAGTTTGATAAACTAATTTATATTTGATAGGATGGTGACATAATCAACATTGATGTTACGGTCTACCTGAATGTAAGTTCTTATACTTCACCCGTCCCTGCTCTGGTAATTTTCTGTCTTGACTAAAAGCATCTTGCATGGAATATTCTTTTGATAATCAATTATACTATGTGAAAATTCTATTGGTCATGTTTTAAACATTTGTCTATGTTTGATCTTCTTAATGTCATTTAACAAGACCTTAGTACATCACGAAGCATGTGCATTACATAAGTGCCATTATTTTTTTCAGAGAACAATCCTGTGAGATTTTTATGCTTTCTTGGACAAAAGTTTGGCCGTTGATTAGTTACTAGATTTCTTTTTGCCTGCTTGTTTCCTTCAGGATAAAATAATAGTTGGAAGTTCTATTGTTGCCTCTTGTATAAGTGCTAGGTCCATCGGGGGCCTTTCCAAAAATCCCATGTAGAGCCCATTGGATATACCTTGGTTGTCTCACGTTTTCCTATCTATATTTGTACCCTCTGAACATTGTATTCGGTATTGTTCCTTCTTTCGCATTGTGTGCCTTGCGTTGAATATAGGTCTTATTAAGCGCCTTTCAAGAGTGCTGTAAAAAGCCATGAAAGAGCAAATGAAACTATTCGCTCAAATCATAAGTGGCGTATCTGATGTAGCATACTGTAATTTGAAAATAATTCAAGAATGAAAGAACAGAAGAATATGCACAGGTAGACCATGGATGAATGAGTGGATCATCCAAGGCTAAGTTTGGTTTGGACTTCCTTATATTTATATAAAAGGTTAACAATGTACGATTTCAAACATGCCCATGGCAATGTTAATAATTTTGTATGAACATATAATAATTAAGATATAAAAATTTATTTACAAATTTGCCCATGTACATCACATTATATCCTTGATACTCCCCCTCAAGTTGTACATTAGTAAAAATCATGGACAACTTGCCCTTTAGAAGCCTATATCCTTTCTTGTTAATATTGGGTTTTGTGGCCTTTAAAGGCATAGAGAGCTTGTAAAAATAATAATTTAAAGTAGAATATGCACTTCAGTGGGAGTGTGTATGTTGATTGACCATGGGTTGGGCGGTTTATGGCCCTGGTTATGTCCAAAACCCTTACCTTTGAGCATGTAGAACTTCCGAGAAGAGCTTACATTGGGTCCTCCGTTATTGAGGTCAGAGAGATGCCTAGGGATCATGTTTGTAGGCTAGGAGAACTGTAGGGTCTCCTATGTGCAGTTGTAGGCTTGTAAGAGCAGGGGTCAAAGCCTCAACAAACTTCCGCATGGTATGTACACATGATTGCCGCATTACTAGGAAGCACCCATATAGAGGGACACATGTACATGCACATAGAGAGAGCCCCATTTGCACTGCGGTGACAAGTGCGACACTTGCTCTTAAAGGGTGGGGATTGAAATTTACATTCCAGGATCATGGTCCTACCCTTTATTATTCAACTTTGACAGGCCAATCATGAGCTCCTGCATTAAGACTGTGGATCATAGGTCTTTGTTGGGTTGGATAAAAAAACAGTAGTGGATCATGCTTCATGGGTCTAGTGGAGTGCCCTTATTGTCTCTACTTTTGACCCAATCGTCCCAGTCCACTTGTGAATTATTTTATTTTGGTATTAGGAATTTTTTTATGATTTTTTACAAATTTTTCAGAATTTTAAAATTTTATTTATGCTGTAAATCTCATTAGAAGAGCATTTTTGAAATTTTCAGAACTTGAGAAGGCACATTTGAGGACAAGGATCCAGCCCCCACATGTACGTGCCACCCATGTGTGGGGCCCATGTGATCCCCTAGGGTGGCACACCCTATTTTTTTTTATAGATGCTATCTTTTAATTGGATAGGGAATCTTTTAATTTAAAATAGATTTGATTTCCTATTCAAGTGGGATTTTTAAAAATAAATATTATCGTTTGACTTCCTAAAGATAATGAAAGATCTAGGCAATGCTAGAAGTGGTTATCATTTAATTATTAAATAGAAGTTGTACTTGGGTCAAATTATAAGGGATAGTGTTCCTAATTTCCACCCAAAATCATGATGGTTGATTTGTGGAGGACTCTGTTTCAATCTCTCACCCCACATATTTTCTAATTATCCTAAAGGTCAAACTGAAAATAAGATAAAGCATACCTAGATGAAATCCTACTCCCAATAGGAAATAAATTTGTTTATATTTAAACTTTTTTGAACCTTTCCAAATATTATGACAAGCATCACTCTCATGCCATTGTCTCACCTCTTTCATACCTAAGTTTGCTCTCCCTCTCACACCCCGATTTTTTCTCTCTCACACAAACCATATTCTTCTCTCTCTCTCATGCCAACCTCTCTCTCTCTCTCTCGTGTTCTTTCGTGCCCCCTAAAAACGAAATTAGAATAAGGGGGTGGCAAATGAAACCCTAAATTCAAGTGCTGTATTTTCTTAAGAAAGAAGGACGATGCTCAGCCTAGAGAGAGATTAACTTACAAATTCAGCCCTAATTTGTTCCTGTGTAGTTTTTACAAACTCTCGTTAAGTTTTTGAGCTCTCTAAAACCCTAGATTAAAAGGTATTGCCTGAAAAAGTATTGCCTGAAAAACTTTCCCATTTCAAAATTTCCAGCGGCATTTAAAGGACTAGAAGTGCGCCATCGGTCAGAGAATCGGGGGTGGGGTGGATCAAGACCTTTGAGAGTAACTCTAGACACCTTTAGTAAGTATTCTCAATATATTTAATTATTTTCAGTCGTATTTCATATTTTTTTGTGAATTTCTAAGAACATATATTGTAGCTAAAACTATAGTAGAAGATTGTTTATTGTTCCTGGATGTTTTTTATTTACTTTGACAATAAAAGTAAAGATCCTAGATTGTATCTAGGGTATTAATATTGATTTACAGCAGCATATAGTGGCCCATGTAAGTGGCATTCAGGTATATTAAATATTTTTTTTTGTATTTAATACCTTAAGTTCCACAGCCACTCTTTTCATTGGTATCAGAGCTTCTATATTTTACTGCTACAGTCTAGGAGTTTTAATTTTGTTTGAGTCTAGAAACATGACCTTGAAAAGCTTCTTATCTGAGTTTATTAAGTCTGAAAGACTTGATGGGAAGAACTGTGCTAGTTGGAAGTGAAAAATAGGCTATGTCCTCTTTGAAGGACTTAGCCAGATGCTTACTGATGATTCCCCACCTGCGCCAAGAGGAAATGTTTATGAAAAGCAGTTCGTAAGAGATGCTTATGCTCAGTCGGAGCACAAAAACACTCTAGCAAAGCATGTTCTACTTATGATCATGGATGACACCCATGCTCTCGAGTATGAGTACCTGATGACCACAAATGAGATTCATGAATGATTTGAGACCAATTATGCCTCTCCTTCTCTCACTGGGAACACAATGGATACGAAACAATATTCATATTTGAAGATGAAGGATGCAAATTAACCAAGCATATACAATAGTTTAGAGCTTTAGTTCACAAACTCAAGGCTGTGCAAGTTAAGCCGGATGAAAACGTGCAAATTTGCTAGTTGCTGAGTTCTATGCTAAAAGCTTCATTTAAGACCTTACCGCAAGAGGGAGCACGCCGAAGTTGCACGAGATCATCACCAAACTTAAAGCTGAAGAAGAAAGGAGATTGTCTTGCAATACTTCATCCTTGAATGACTTCGTAAATCTGGTAAACTTTAAACACAACTTTGGTTCATTTAAGGAGAAAAAGGATAAAGGCCAGAATAAGATCAAAACCAATGAGAATCAAAAAGGGAATAAAGGGCCTAAGAAAAGGAACGATTTAAAGAATACCCAATGATAAAACTGTAAGAAATTTGGTCACATTGTGAAATATTATAGAGAACCCAATAATACGGATCCCAATGGCGATAGCGAGCATGCTTGTGTGGTCTTTGGGAGCATGCTTGTGTGGTCCTTGGGATCATGCTAACTGACCTTAAATTGGGGTCATGGTGTTGCTGACGCTGGGTCCACTGGCCATGTGTCAAACATAGAGGAAGGGTATAGAAATTAACTCTATTGCCCCTGGGGATCAATATATCTATATGGGTGGGAATCAAAAGACTTGTGGGGATGCTCTGCCCATGCCCTTATACTCTATAAAACTAGGACAACCCTTAAACTGTTATGTCCATCTTCATAGGATACCCACCACATGGTAAGGGATATTGTTTCTATAATCTTGACACAGGGGTTGTCCTTGAGTTCGGATGCCCATTTCCTTGAGGAAAAGTTCCTCGAGGGTTGTGCCACTCAGAAGCATGCCGAGTTTCATGAGATAGATTGTGACATGAGTTAGGCCCTAGATTTTTACCACCTTGTCCTAGGAGAAGTAATCGAATTAGAAGAAAACCTAAGTTTTTCAGTTGGGACAATATTATAAGAGAATTGAAGAAGAATCCCTGCATGAACTCTGTTCCTGTCAAGAAGCTATAGCCTGTCATGAGAAGGCACAATGGAAAGAAGCCATGATTGATGAACTTAACTTGATCAAACAAAGCAGTGCCTGGGAACTAGTGAAACTACCTCTTAATAGAAAACCCATAGGCAGCTAGTGGATTTCTAAGATGAAATTGAACTCAGAAGGGAAGTTAGAGAAATACAAAGCGAGATTAGTTGCTAAGGGGTTTACTCAGAAAGAAGGAATAAATTATGATGACACCTTCTCTCTTGTGGCAAAATTTCCCTCCATTAGAATCCTAATAGCCATAACAGCTCATTTCGACTTTAAACTCCATCAGATAGATGTTAAGACCGCATTTCTTAATGGGGAGCTAGAAGAAGAAATTTATACAAAACAACTAGAGTGTTTCATAGAAAAGGGAGAAGATAATCTAGTGTGTGAACTCAATAAGTCCCTTTATGGCCTTAAAGAGGAATCATGGCCGTGGTACATTAAGTTCCAGAAGACCTTGTTATCAGTTGGTTTTGTGCCCAACAAGGAGAATTACTATATATATGTCAAGGTTAATGGGGTGACATTTTCATCTCCCTATATGTGGATGACATATTAATTGCCAGTAGTCTGATGAGTCTCATATTTGACACAAAAGCTTTCTT